GTATGCAACATATAAATTAACTGTTAATCCTATGATTCAAATTTCAAAATGTCATATCAGTTCGATACTTAATTATTTTATCGACATTCTGAAAATCCTCTCCTTCAAGAGATGTGAAATATAAATATTATTCTTATGGTTGAGATACTTAAAACGCTTTGTTTTTAAGCGTTTTGTTTTGGCTGAATGGACTTGTATAATATGCTTAAGTCCTGGAAGTCTGCACTTTCTCCTATAGAAAGGTTGGGATGAAGGATGAATATATTGACATTTTCTCTGATTCTGAAAGAAATCACATGTATAAATAGTGTCAATTAAAACCGCTATCCTGAATCATTCTAAGACAGTTGTGCTTTTCTTTTATATGCACTATGTCCTTGGACATGTTTCTTAACCATTTTGTCCTTAGTTTCTCATCTCTGAAGTAGAGCTAATATTATTCCTTACCATAAAATATTGCAAAAATTATTGGCTTTAGGTCTTTTCAGGGCTTACTAGAGTCACTCAACAAAGTCAGCAAGATTAACTGATAGGTTGCATGTTTTAGCTTCCTCTAGCCATTTGGAGAGGTTAACCACAAAACCTAAAAAAAAAAAAAAGAAAAGAAAAGAAAGAAAGAAATAGGTATCAGAGATTCTTTGTTCTCTTGGCTCTTCAACTCAAAAGCAGGATGGGAGCGGATATGAACCATAAGCTTCCTTTGAGGGCAGAAAAGAGAAGAGGTTATCTCACATTTCATAGTCTGTTGACAAACATGGTTCCCTTGGTAATGATAGTTTGGGTTGAGATATTTCAGTGTTGATACCTAGAAACACACACAATGGGACTGGCCAAGAGAGCAAAAAAGATGTTAATCATGTGTTTGGAACTTGTTTGAACATTAAATGGCAAAAAAGGATACAATTTGGTCTATAATCCACTCATTGTTGTTTTCTGCTCATTAATCTATGTTATTCATTTAAAGAAGTGATTAGCAACCTCCTGTATCACAGCACACACTGTTTTACTTTAGTATTGTGGATGACTAGTTCTATAGCTAGCATAAGTGTATAACACAACCCATGGGATGAATAAACGCACAGCTAAATGAATGAACCTTATCTTATGGGTATTACTAACAATAATGGTCAAGATTATTTTTTGGCCAGATTATAAAATTTGAAAATAGCACAAATAGTAATATAGCTGGGAAAAGAGTTCTGAGTATTTGAATATAGTATAGTATTTGAAAAATGAACTCTCAAGACAAATCTGCTGAGCTGTTGAAAGGGGGAACTTCTAGTTGCTTAGACTATTGAGCTATTACTTAAAGGACACGCAGAGAATATTGACAAATTAAAAGACATGTTCCTAGGGAATTCTGTGATCCTGAGGTGTTATACATGAAATAAGAGTTTTTTCCTTAAAAAATTAAATGAGTTAAAATTAAAATTAATTTAAAACATTTTCTATAGCATTGAAAGAAATGAAAGTATTGTCAGTTCTATATAAAAGGAATGTTGAGAGGCAATCACATCTGGTGTGAGGTCAAGAAGAAATTTCAGAGGTCTGGAGTACACATTCCTGCAGGTTTTTAATGATGGAAAATAAACACAAATAAATTTAAAACTGGGTAGCTTAGAGTATACAGGGAGTTTGGCCAACATACCTAATTCTGAATACCTGTTTTCATTTTTTTGATATGTCAAAAATAGTCAGGTAGTACACAAAATTTAATCTGGTTAAAGAAATAGAGTTTGAGTGTATTAATATTCTTATGTACTCAGTAGTTTTGACTCAGAAATCCTTCATTTAAAAATTGGCCACTGATCAGTTTTATGAGATTAAGAATTAAATGAAAAATAATGTGTTAATTCATAAATGCTTGCTACACATTCAGGATACTTTTGAGTATTATAATCCCTCAGAAGATTTTAGAAAAAAGAAAGATGAAGAATGTTTGATTGCAGATCTATTCATAATCTTGCTCAGTCAGCAGTATTGCTACTAGTAACACTATGCCGTTCACAACAAGTCTACTGAATTGCGGGAGTGCAACACAGCTGGTTGGTTATTTTGGGTTTTATAATGCTTGCCCCGATTATGTGGCATTCAGCTAATTATATGACTAAATATCTGACTCAACCACAGAGTAGTTAATTTACTGACCACATGTGGACACGATGTTAGTCTTTCCTTCCAGTGAAAAATCAGACATAGTCACTCCAAGGAAGATGAATATACTGGACTCCTAGAGCTAATGTAGATTATATTTTATGATGTGTCCTTCTGTTGTGCTATTTTCAGTGCTTCTATTTCCATCCCTCACAAGCCTGGTTACACTGTGCTTAGGTAATAAAACCTTTACAATAGAGTTCATGTGAATCAATTATTCTTTCATCTCCTCCTGCTTTTTTAGTGAACAGTACAATCAGTTAGTATTCCTTGCATCATATACATTGGCTGGTCTCCTAGATCAATCCTATTCTCAAAAAATATTCTTATTCTCTAAGTTTACTTTTGCTTCCTACTGGAAAGTACCTGTTTTTCAACACCCAACATCACTGATGAATGTATTAGTTCTTAAAAGACACATGGCCATACAGTTATGTTTAAGAAACATGCTGAGTCAATTCTAAAAGTCAATTCTAAAATCCTAAAAAAAAATGTTGGCCAACATGGGACTAGGAATATTTAATTTTTTTATATTTATGTATTTTTTTTTGAGAGAGAGAAAGAGCACAAGCAAGGGAGGGGCAGACAGAGAGGGAGAGAGATTCCAGAGCAGGCTCTGCACTGCCAGCACAGCCCAATGTGGGGCTCGATCCCATGAACTCTGAGATCATGACCTGAGCTGAAATCAAGAGTCAGGCGCTTAACCACCTGAGCCACCCAGATGCTCCAGTATGGGTGTTTTTAAATCTGTGATAAGAAAAAGTAATGTAAATCATAAAGTAATTAAGTGACATTTTTCCCCTGAAAAGATAATGCAGTAGAATGTTATTTTTGTTTTTTCTAACTGGGTTGGCTCTGTTAATTTTAACAATTATAGAAAAAATGAAGTAGAGATGTTGTTTTTCTACAGTAGAAATCCTCTGAAAAGAATAGCTGAGGAATTTGATGGGGAAGACATATTATGTTAACTGTAACATTAACAAGCATTGTCTATTTTTACCTGAGGAAGGCGAAGTATCTGTAATACTGACGTACAGAATGCATGTTCCCTGCAGTATTCAAATTCATCTTGCAATCAACTTGGTTAGAATTTTAACTATTTTTAAAGTTGGTATGAAACACAGTTTAGGACTTGAAAAATAGTCATGTCCTCAACCTACAGTGAGTTCCACAGTAAGATGTCCATTTTGGCTTCTGTTCACATGTAGCTATTCCTTTCATAATATTCTTCATAATATTATGATGGCATCCATAATATTCTTACTGTGATGGGAATGAATAATATCTAATCTCATATAGTGCATGGATCATGGCTAAAGACAAATAAATATGACACACTGTAGTGGGTATAATTAAATATATATAACTTGAAAAAAATATTTTCTAAACAATATGATGCATTATTTTTTATTTGTTTTCTCTGAGGAGCTCATCCTAAATAATACAGACTTTGCTGAATTGTGTGAGTTGTTCCTTATGGTAGCTAAATGTTGTCAGAGATCTAGCAAGTAATAAGATATATTAATTAAGAGAGATAAGGAAAGGAAGGATATACAAGCCAGTATTTTTAATAGTGGAGCAAACACTTCACCCTTTAATTAAATGTGACTTGTTTGAGAATTAAATTAAAGTGGCAAAGATCACAAGGAAGGGAAATGTGAGAAATTTTCATAATGCAGTATAACCCACAAAAATACAGAAAGAGGAAATCAGTTTATTTCCCCTTTTCTTTAAAGACTGATATTAGGGAAGAAAACTAAAAGAAGAAATTGCGTGTATGTACTGTGTGTTTTCTTGAAGGGGTAGATTGAATAGATTCAAATGATTTTTTTTATAAATTATCAAACTATTACTTGTTAAATATCTAACTTTTCACGTACAAATTAACGTTTTTTAGAAAATGAAAAACATTTTAAAACTATTTTTAAGTCAGGTATCCAAACACCTATGTGATAGGATCAAAGAAGCATCAAAATTTGATTGAAGACAAAATTCAAGGTGCTTTTCAAAGCTTTCTTGCGATGTAAGAATAAAATCAGGTGCAGGCACTTTGTGAGACCCTGGAGCTTCAGTGGGGAGAATAGGACATGGAATTCTGTCCCTCCTCCACAAAGCATACGCGGCCTGATAGCAGGAAAAAAATGTGCATTTTGATGATGTGCTCAAAAGGAACAGAAAGATATTTGATAATAAGGGATTTTCTGAATTGTTTAATATCTCAAAAAGGCATATTAAATGTGATAATTCCACTTTTCTTACACTTCTTTCCCATTTAGGGCTGTAGAGGGCAATTAAGAATATGGTTGTGGAAAATACTATAGCAAATTGTACTTTTACTGGACCTCAGGATACAGAAAAGCCACCTTCACTTAATTATGTTTATAAAGTTATTAAAATAACCTAAGTTTGACAAGTGGTGTGGAATTAGAATATCAAGTCTAATGTGTGTTTTACTTACTTAGAGAACAGCATGTGGTTTTAGGTTGCCTACTGCACGGCAGCTGAGCTTTTGTGAATTTACCATCATAAATTCAACTATTAGGAATTCACATCATGTGCTTTTATGAAGATAGCAACAAAGAGTATTCTTAGAGAACAGGCCGAATTAATATCAATGACAGTTTGAGCCCTATACTAGGAGAGCACATCCTTATTGAAGATAATATTCCTGAATATGTGATAACTTACTGAAAATATAATTTTATCAGGCAGATTATCTTATTTTTCTAACATGGTAGGAAAAAAAAATGCTTGTTCCCCATTCTTCTTTTTATGTACACTGTTTTAGGAGTTAATGTTTCATATTAATTTTTCATTTGTCCATTAATTTTTTTTTTCCTCTTCAGGTGTAATCTAGCCCCTGTGGTGGAGTTTGCTGCAGATGTGGGAACTAAATCAGATTTTATTACCATGAATCCATCAGTTGTACAAAGAGCATTTGGAGGTTTTCGGAATGAGAGTGACAGAGAAAAATTTGTGCATAGACTTTCCATGCTGAATGACAGTGTCCTTTGGATCCCTGCTTTCATGGTCAAAGGAGGAGAGAAGCACGTGGAGTGGGTTAATGCATTAATCCTTAAGAACAAACTGAAAGTGCGAACTGCCTATCCATCATTGAGACTTATTCATGCTGTCAGAGGGTAAGTGTCTGGAAAGGACCAGTCTGTCCTTGGCACAATGGAACACATAACTAAACATTTTCCCTAGACAGGAAGGAGCTTCAGGAAAAGCTTCCAATGGATACATGTTTCTCCTTTTTTATGATGGGTACGCTATTCAGCAACTTGCATTTTGTTTATGTGCTATGTTATCTTAAAGCTCATTCTCTTTCTTAAAAAAAGCAAATATTTGAACTTAGCATCTATTTATGTCTAGTCATGAGCATACTACTGGTTTTTATGTTTTGCCATGTTAAAGAGTAATAAGAATTCATGGTAAAGTTGATGAATTTGGGGTAAGAAAACTACCAACAGAAGTGCTAAATAGCTACTGGGCAATATTGTGGAAGCATAAATGTTAGATATATTTAAGGAGCAATTAAGTCCCTTCTGTAGTTAAGAGGTCTACTAGGGATAGAGAAGGCTGGATGAGATAACATGCCCTGATGCTTCCCCCCAAAAGCCATAGATTCCAATTTTATGAATTAAGTTAACATTTCCCTTTTATTAACACAAGCTCAGATGTAAAACCAAGAAATAGACTTTATATAAAAGTGGCAAGTGGCCAAAAGGCCAAGTTCAGTCATGCACACATATAAATGTGTAAAATATATAACACAAAGATAAGCAGTCATGTGTATTTATTGAATATCTACTGAATGCCAGATATTGGAGATAGAAAAATGAAGAAGTCTGATTACTTCTTTAAAGGAATGCATAGGCTTTATAGCAGAAACAGATGTATATATACCAACTGGCTAGTACATAAACGAATGGTAAGAGGGTATATTGTCAGGAGTGTAGAGTTTGTTTCTCATGTTAGCAAAGAACACTTAAAAGTCTAACATTTCAACCAGACATAAAAAACAGAATAGCTATTTATCAGGGATAAAAAGAGAAAGAGAGAAACAGGACAGAGACAGAGAGAGAGAGAGGGTGACAGAGAAAACCAAACAGAAGGAAATGTTATTGCATTATTAGAGTGAACCGAGACAATGATGTAATTAAGAACAAGGTAAACTTGAGGAATAATGGAGTCCAGTGTAAAGCATTGGAATACAAGGTTGGAAAAATAACTTGTGATTTGATTGGGAAAAGAATCACTTTTATTTTAAAGCCCAGTTATATGTGTGAATTTAGGAGAGTAAGTCTTGTAACACCAGACTCTGAATTGGCAAGAAGAGGTGCTAGGAGTATGAAGACCAATTAGACTTTTTGATTAACATACTTGCAAGATGATAAAAATGTGGGGCAGAATTAGTGGCCATGGGAGGGAAGGGCAAGTTCAAGGGACCAATTAAATACAATGGATAGAAGTTCTAAAAGAAAAAAAAGTTTCCAAACCCAGAATTAAAAATAGTTTGCTTCATATACTGTAATTGGGACTGGGCTAAGGTGTTTTCATTTTGTTTTGTTATTGTGATACTTTCCTTCCAGGATTTACCTACTGTTTCCTTGTTTAAACTCGAGACAGTTTCTTGGATTGTGTTATTCTTCACACAATTAAATTGCATTCTTATAATTAAATCATGGTTATTCAACATTCACTCTTTTGATGTTTGACATGAAGCTTCAACAAAGTAAGATAAAATACATTCATTTGGAGGATAGGTGTTTTTTTTTTTTTTTAATTACAAAGATTCCTGGTAATTACAGTTTGACTCTGAAGGAAAAAAAAAAGTATTTTTAACAGGATAACTTTATAAAGCATTGTGCTAAGAACACATCTTATTTTTTGATATGTTAATGTTGAGTATCATTTGAGTGTGAGAAAATATTAAAGATAACACTGTCTTATTGTCTTATCTTAAACACACACGAAGACACATACACTCTGACACACACATAGAAATATTCATACACACTCCAGTGATAGTTTATTAAGATCCAAAAACAAATGTTTTGAAGTAAGTACTCTTTGATTATAGGAAACTAATAAAATTTAAGATTACTCTGAATTAGTACCATTTTAATAGACTATTTTCGGAGCAGTTTTAGGTTCACAGCAAAATTGAGAGGGTGGTACAGAGACTTCCCATATGCTCCCTGCCCCTACACATGCATAGCCCCACTATCAACATCTTGTACCAGAGCCGTACATTGGTTACAACTGATGAACCTACATGGACACAACATTATCACCCAAAGTCCACTGCAGTTCACTCTTAGTTTGTACATTCTGTGGGTTTTGACAAATGGGTAATAACATGTATCCTCCATTATAGTATCACACGGAGTAGTTTTACTCACCTAAAAGTCCTATTCATCCATTCCTCCCCATTAATTCATGGTAAGAACATTTTTTGTTTGCTTTTGTTTGTTTTTACCGTGTCTATAGTTTTGCTTTTTCTTGACTGTCATATAGTAGGAATCATATAGTAAGCCTTTTCAGATTGGCTTCTTGTGCTTAGCAATAAGCATGTAAAATTCCTCCATGTCTTTTCATGGCTTGACAGATCATTCTCTTTAGTGCTGAACAATCTTGCATTGTCTGGATGTACCAGTTTATTCATTCACTTGTTGCTTCCAAGTTTTGACATTTATGAATAAAGCTGTTGTACACATCTGTGTGCAGGTTTTGGGGTGCACATAATTTTCAACTCATTTGGGTAAATACCAAGGAGTATTATTGCTGAATCTTATGATAGGGGTATGTTGAGTTTTGTCAGAAATTGCCAAACTGTCTTCCAAACTGGTTGTACCATTTTATATTCTCAGTAATGAATGAGAATTCCTGTTCCTCTGCATCCTCACAGCTGTGCTTTCAGTGTTCTGGATTTGGGCCATTCTAATCGTTAGCGTAGTGATATTTTATTGTTGTTTTAGTTTGCATTTCTCTGATGACATAATGATGTGGGGCATCTTTTAATATGTGTATTTGTGGTCTTTATCTCTTTTTCAGTGAGAGGTGTATTGAGGTGTTGGGCCCATATTTTAGTCAGGTTGTTGGTTTTCTTATTGCTGAGTTTAAGAGGTTTTTGTATATTTTGGATAACGCTCCTTGACCAAGTAGGTCTTTTGCAAATATTTGCTCCCAATCTGTGGCTTGTCTTTTCACTCTTTTGACAAATGTCAAAAGAGCATAAGTTTTTATTTTTAATGAAGACCAGCTTATCAATTATTTCTTTCATGGATCATACCTTTGGTGATATATCGAAAAAGTCATTGCCAAACCCAAAGTTGTCTTGATTTTCTTCTATGTTATCTTCTAAGAATTATATAGATTTGCATTTCACATTTAGATCTATCATCCATTTTGAGTTATTTTTTGTGACGGGTATAAGGTCTGTGCCTAGATTCTTTTCTTTATATGTGGTTGTCTAGTTATTCTAGCACCATCTGTTGAAAAGATTATCTTTGGGGAGCCTGTGGGGTATATATTGAAGGGCAGGAGTGAAGTTTGGTTGCATGCACAGCCTGGGTCCTCCCAGCAATTTCCAGTGCAAGATGGTGCCAGGAGAATCTTAAAAAAAAAAAAAAAAAAAAAAAAAAGACTATATTTGCTCTCTTATATTATCTTTGCTTCTTTCTGAAACATTAGTTGACTATATGCTGTCCTGATTTTGCTAGCTTTATGGTAAATCTTGAAGTTAGGGAGTGTCAGTCCTCTGACTTTCTTTTTCCCCATTAATATTGTGTTGACTATTCTGGTCTTTTGTCTCTCCATATAAACTTTGCAATTAATATTTTGTTCCCTAAATTCTGTCGTATATTTCTTCATTCACTCTAAGTGGCAAAGCACAAAATAAGAGGTATGGTTGAAATGGAGCATTTTCAATAAATTACAATCTAAATGGAATTGTACATGATTAATAGCTGTGGATTCACATAAGCTTTTTACAGACTTTTAAAATTTATTTATTTATATTAGGAGAGATTGAGAGGATGAGCAGTGAAGGGGCAGACAGAAAGGGAGAGAGAGAGAGAATCCCAAGCAGGCTCTGTGCGGCAGCGTGGGGCTTAAACTCATGAACCCGTGAGATCATGACTTGAGCCAAAACCAAGAGTCGGAGGCTTAACTGACTGAGCCACCCACATGCCCCTTTTAACAGATTTTTTTTTAATATAGAAAGTGCAGGGGGGAGCCTGGGTGGCTTAGTGGTTAAGTGTTTAACTGCAGCTCAGGTCATGATCTCACGGTTCATGAGTTCAAGCCCCATGTTGGGCTCTGTGCTGACAGCTCAGAGCCTGGAGCCTGTTTCGGATTCTGTGTCTCCCTCTCTCTCTGCCCCTCCACCAATCATGCTCTGTATCTTTCTCTCTCTCAAAAATAAATAAACATTAAAAAAATATAGAAAGTGCAGAACCTTTTAATAACTAGTTCATCAATACTCATGTTTTGTTTTATCCACATTCCTTCCATAACGATTATAAACTATTTCACCTAAGCATTTTATTCCAAAGATTAACAAGGCCAAACTTCTGACCACTGGTGAAGTTAATGGTATACTTTCTTTAGATTACTATGCTTTAGATGTTTTTCACAAGAATTGTTTTGAATTCTCCATGAAGAACTCACCTTGCTACTGTACTACTCATCCATCTATGTGCTCCCCCTTCAGATGTCAAACGATTGAATTCTAAACTGTGACCCAGGATATAAAGAAGTAGTTCTAGAGGTGCCTTTCACTCTTCAAATCCCATTGGAAATTTGTACAGGTGGTATATGTGAAAGGTGACTTCATTTATGGAATTAATGAAATGAACACATTAATGCATGCAATGTAGCATTTCAACATAATGTTTATACTCTGCAAAGCTACTGGAACTCTGGAAGAAAATAAGGAAGTGTGAATACTGATGAAACAGATTCACATGATATGAAAGCATGAGCAAACTCCCCAAAGATCTGTTCTTTAAGTATCTGTTTTACATCTCTCTGAAACACTGTGGTTAATAAAGTTCAGGAAAATAGTTTAGAGAATTTCATAGCCTCTGTTGATTCCTGGAGTTTGTTGTCTCTCATAAAAAGTTTAGAACAC